TGCAAAGATGAAATTGATATCCGATAGACCTCAAGATACTCAAGATACTCAAAATAGTCAAGAAGAAATACCACAGGACGTTCAGAATAAACAAGAAGTTCAGGAAACTCAAACAAAATTATAAAATAATTTTTATTAGAAATTTTGCATATCAATTATTCATGCCATAAATATTAAATTTTTACATTTTTCAATATCATCTTTTAATTTAAATAAAAAGGAATTCTTAAAAAGTTTTGCTTTAATAATCTTTCAAGTTTAAATAATTAGCAAATTTTATAAATGAAATAATAACCTTGACTATGTTTTACCTGAAAAAGCCTTGAGTTTAATTTGAATTACCTGTACTGATTTTCTAATTTTCTGTAGTTAGAGATCAATACGCGTTGGAAGATAATCAAAGCTGACAGTTGTTGTAACATTCAGGTTTAAGAATATACCTGTTTAGTTGCATGTCGAGCAACTTATTATGCAGTGATAAACCAAATTTCTCTTTAATTTTAAACAATTTGACTTACTAGTATTAGATTCATTTTTATTTATTTTTTATTTTTACTTTAGAAAGGTAGATACATTTGTGAGATATGAAGATACATTGAAATTTTACAAAAAAGTCATATGTACTATTGATCTAAAACTAAATGTACAAAATCCAACCGGCAGACCCACCCTTCGTTAACTATTATAAAATACAAAATATTGAAGCGGTTACACCAGATCGGTTACTATACTGTAAACATTAAAAAACGTCACGTGCTGCACCACCGACTAGTACCTATCATAATGACGTAATATTATTAGCACTACGCAGAACTTCGTGGTATTATCAGTTAATAATTATTATGACTATGAAACCATATTACTATTATCATGTATTCAAATTCCAATATACTTTTTTATTTTTAAAAAATATTTTGATTTGTGCGCTTTGTAAAAACTTCTTTTAATTCATTTTAAATCTCTTTACCTTTTCTTTTTCTCTTATTTGAACGTCTATTTCAAATCAAGAAACTTTTCTTGGGCACTTTAAAGATTTATCTTCAAAGTTTCAAGCTTTATTATATCATTCGTTTGAATAATTCAGTTTTAACATTTTTATTTGTAACATGTTCATCAATCATCATTTAAATATTAACGTACGAAGATTACGAATAATTTACTCTTACTGTATTTAACGTTAAGTATACTTTTCATAATATTCATGTGATTTAAACCCCATAATCCCTAAAATATAATTTCTAACTAAATAAATCGTCTTTATTAAAGGGAAGAAAATTGTTAAATCATGATTCTTAAGAATTTTTTTATCGGCCTTGTTATAGCAACAACGATGATTCTTATAATTTATGCATATGGAACGTTTCTTATGAATTTTTTCTTGTAAGATAATAGATAGATGGCGGTGGATTCAACCTCCTTCTTTTACGACATTTAGGGTTTTAACCCTTGTGAATTTTTTCTAAGTGTAGAAAATAAAAAATCTTAATAAAATCCATTCTAATTTTTTTGTGACGCCAACACGCCATGAATATAGGAATATAGCCAAACCTCTTCATACTGCAGGCAACTGTAGCAATTTTTTCGCAAAAATTTTCGGTACATCTGGTTTAACTTTTTTTATCCTGTGTACAGTATGCTGTATGTTTATACGTATTGAAAAATAAAAAATACAAAATTACATTGGAAACAATGTATGACAGATCAAAATAACAATATTAAGTAGCACCATCCCTATAAAAAATTTTTATCCGAATATTTCCATTATTTCTCCGTGTCTTCCGTAAAAATTCCGTGAAAATGATACATTCACGGATATCCGTGTTAGCGAGATGAAAATTTCCATGATTTAAGGCTATAAATTCCATGAAAATGATACATTCACGGAAAAAACATGGAAAGATAAAACACGGATCAGATTTTTT